TTGATCGGTGGCATTTTCATCAGATTGGCCAGCCTCTTTCTGCTCTGACTGGGCACCCTCTGTAGGAGCATCTGTGTTTTCATCTGGTTTGGCATCTGTTTTGTCTGGTTTAGCATCTTGTTCATCACCTTTTTCGCCCTGTTCAGTGGCCACCTGCTCATTATCTGTTGCTGGGGCAGGCTCATTTGAAGCTTCTTCTGATTGTTCATTTGGTGTTGCTTCATCTGCTTGTGATTGGTCAGTCTGTTCTGTGGGCTGTGGTTGGTCAGTTGGTCCTGTTGCCTCTGTTTGGTCTGTGGTTGTGCCTTCTGCTGCCTGTTCTCCCTCTGCTTCAGCTGGTGGTGCTTGGTCTGTGTCAGTTGAAGGTGTTTCTTCTTGCCCCTCTGCCAGTTTTGTCTCCTCATCAGTTTTTGCCTCTGTTTCGGTGTTGTCTTTCACTTCATCCTCTTGTGGAGCATCATTTGTTTCTTGACCTTCACCCTCTGTGGCCTTGGCCTCCTGCCCTTGACCTGCCTCTCCTTCACCATTATCTGCACTTCCAAATACTTGCTGTTTTTCTGTGCTTTGTTCTAAATAAGAAAAACAAATTGAAAAACTATATAAATTTAATCATAAATTAGAAATCATATGCTGTAAAAAAATTGTGTGTTTCAAATAAGTTATTCTTTTCTTAGTTGTTAAAATCTAAGATTATTTTGTTAAGTTTTATACCTACCTTAACAAGGTATGCAATCTCTAATCAAATTAATTGATTGATGAATTCTATATATAAGTACATATAAAAATTTAATTTGATATCGTACAATTGCAAATATTGAAAAAGTATTACAATTTATATTTTAACCCTTTCATATTGTCTAAAATTGATAATATTGTCAGCATGCAGCAATGTGTATCAAACTGATGGGCTATAATCAGGTAAACATGCACATGCAATGATCAAGACACTCATCACAAATGTACATGCAATGATCAGGACATGCATCATCACAGATATACATACAACAATCCACAAACTAGTGCACTGCAAGCCTGGAGAGGGAGTTAATTATTTGTTAATGGACACATCACGGCATGCAAGTGAAACAGATAACAATTCATGCTTTTTTTGTTTACTACAAAATATACAAAAAATGATCATGGAGAGGATAGCCCACATCACATACATGTACAATCACATGCATAGTACAAGTACTAGTACACCTGTAGTATGACTTAGACATGTGCAATTGTCATTTTATATCTACATGAAGCAACAATTATCCATGCATTTGATTTTCTTGATTGTCTCTTCTTTCCACAGTTACTGAGCATTGGAGTATCAGTCTCTAAAGTAGAATCAGATCATGGATCTCACGGTAAGTGGACGGGTGAGTATAAGTAAGTGAGGACAGATTCAGGGATAACAGGTAGGCAAATAGCCTACATGGTCAACTTCTTAATTTGGAGGGGGGGGGGGGAAGAGGGAATAGTAGACCTAATTTGGTGGAGGGGGGGGGGGGGGGACACAGTCCAACACTGGTACTGATGTATTTTTTATATGTATAACATCTTCCAGAATGAAATGGTTTAAAGTATTTGTTAATTTTATAACTAATCAAACTAAACTACAGATAATTCATGCTATAAAAAATAACAAATAGCATTTTGCCATTGATGGTAAAGAACAAACCCATCAATATAAAAGAACACAGCACATTTTTTTATCTATTTTTTTTTTCAAAAGAGTGGAAAGTGAGATCTGTCCATGCATCAATCAACAGGATCAAATCAACAGTGAACTTGATCAATAATATCAGATAGGATATACCGTAAATGAAAAAGAAACAAGATCATCAGAAAATCATAGACAAAAATCATGATAGTTTCAGAAACCCATCACCACTACACTAAATGCACCTGTTCAAGTCAACTAATACCTCTGGCTAATTCATTCTCCACATCTCCTTTTGTCTCTGACTTAGCCTGATCAAAACTTTTCTGTGGGGCATTTTCTCTATTGGGACTGACTCCACCATCTACAAGGGCTTCAGTAGGGAGAACTGGAGAACCCTGTGGTTGCTGTTCCCTACCTCCTGATGGGATATTTCCTACCAAAGTCCCATCTTCGTTGACAGCACCCTGTGAATCTATGAGGGTAGGGTGGGATGTCCGTGGGGTTGGTGAGGAGGTATGATGGGGTGAAGGAGAAGTTGAAGGGGGTTGCCGAGAAGTTGTAACAGATTTGGGTGGACTTGGTTGAGGTGACACTTCACTGGACAACACCGAGGAGTCATGTTTGGGGCTCTGACCATTACTTTCATTATTCCCAGAGAATGTTTTATCAGTGACCGCATGACTCTGTCCTGTGCCTCCTTCATTCTCCATCTGGACATCCTGATTGGGTGCTGGCTGGTGAAGAAGGCCTGAAGATGTTTCATGCTTCTTTGCTTGGGTTGCTTCTTTGGCTACGTTGTTGGGCTGCACATTGCCAGTGGGAGTAGACCTTGTGCCCCATTGACTGTGATGTGATTCAGCATTGCCCTCCCTACTGTGCGCATCCATATCATCACCTCTATCTTCTCCAATTTCATCCTCCTCAATAGGATCTTCATGATCTTCAGATACAATTGATTTTTCTGTCAGATTCGAATACTCGGACTCATATCGGTCAAACGATCCCTTGTGCCTTATACGATAGCGCCTCAGGGCTTCCTGTTTGAGGTGGGAAGTAGCATCTTTGAGGTTCTTAGCTTTCTTTGGTGGCCTTGGCTCTGTCATTATGATGTATTGTTTATCATGATACATTAAGTGCATAGGTTAATTATATTGATGGACAGGTTAATGGATGGGGTTAAAGAGGAAAGAAAAAAGAAAAAAAAGCAAGAATTAGTTTACTTTTGAACCTGCAAGTTGTTCCTGAAAAACTTGATGCTAAAGCTGTTAGTGATTTAAAATGAAAATACATTATCACCTGTTTTTGAAAATGCTATAACTCAAGTTTATGAGCAACAATTAAAATCAACATATAAGTGCAGTTATTGAATGTTACTGAATTTACAGGTAAATTATTTCTTAGTTTGACATACTGTATATATATAATCATGCAGTTACACATCACACACACGCACACACACACATTAACATACATTTTTTTCATGCTAAGATGCAAATTCTGAGTATGAAATGCTGTCTTGAATGAAAAACTTATAGCTTTAATTTCATATACAGTGTCCTCAGCACACAAAAATTTTTCTGATATTCATTCATATCCAATGTGCAACATTTATTACAACTTTAAACGTTCCAGACAACAATAAATGGACTAGTACTAAAGGACAGACCAAAACGTGCCAATAATTGCCGTGAGCAGCAATATAAAAGTTGTAAATTGTATTTATTTTCTGCTACATGTACTGTAGTACTGCATCCAATATAGTCAAATCAATTCCTATAAACGACCGTGCTTTATCAGGGTTCACTTCGTTAAAGTTATAACGAATAATAACGACATAAAACCTTCCGATGAAATGAAATATCAAACCCTTCACTTATTTTTAAAATTAGTTTACACGAAATATACCTGGATTATCGGAATTTTCCTTTGGTGGCTCTTCGCCGTCCATCTTGAAACTAGGGTCGTTGCTATGCTACGGCTGGGTAGTAAATAAAGACTAAATTTATACAAGATAGAAATCTACTTCCTTATCACAAATATGACGGAATAATGGCATTATTTCACTTGGATACAGCCAAAACCAATAATATTTTTATCATCTAATAAAAAGTTATTTTTGTAATGAATATATTTCACTGCAAGATTAATATCTCTGTGTAAAAATAGCCTCGCACCACACTCTTGAATGTGAGGCTTGCTAAACGAAATTTCCCATATCTGGGCACTTAAGCTATTCATTACACTTCACAAAATATAGAAATATAGCTGTATAAGCACAGTTTATTTAATGATAAAAAGGTTAAAAACATAATGCTATATTGCTTGGAGAGTAGCGTTGCTAAGTGAGACGCCATATTGTAAATAACAGTGAAAAAAGACTGACTGCGGCAAGCTGCTTGCTTTTTGAGTTTCTCCTTCCAAAAATTAATCAAGATGTCTGATAACTCTGATATTGAAGAAGAAGAACAGGGACCTAACTTAGGGGTAACATTTCTCTCAATTTTAATTTATGTACATAATTAACTGTCCAGTTTTTTTTTACCGAAGTTGGGACGTCGATTGGCTTGCCATTCAATCTACATTATGTGATACTTGTAGTCATGTTGATACTAATGTAATTTTATAAATCAAGGAATAACATGTGTTTGCGGAAACTAATTTACTATTTTGTTTATCAACTAGTTTTAGCATTATACTTCAGTAATTAATATTGTTGCATCAATTCGCTGATATTGCTGTGCAAACCCACACATGTATTTGTTATGAAACGTTTAAAATCTTATAAAATTGCCCAACTTTTATATCAAAGAGCTGTAATCCAACTTGGTACTAAAAATCAGTAAGTACATTTAACCTTTTATTTAGGAATACGAAGGAGAAAGAAATGATAAAGATGAAAGGCATGGGTATGGCAAAGCAACACTCCCAAACGGTGACACATATGAAGGAATGTATGAAAACGGGAAAAGACATGGACAAGGAACTTATAGGTTAGGACTAAATGCAAAACAGAAAATTACCTGATATTGGTTTTGGTAAAAGATTGCCATAAGTATTTCTGTTTTAGTCAGAGTTGAAATTGTACTTTTGATTGTACAGTTTGTAATACAATATTTGTGTGTAATTTCATCTTTCATCTGGATAAAACTAATGGTCATACTGTTTTAATAAAACTATTTTAAAATGGTTATTTTTGAATGCTAGTGTAATCATGTTTATATCTTTATATTTAGGTTTAAAAATGGTGCCCGTTATATAGGGGAATACATGAAAAATAAAAAACATGGCTATGGCACATTTATCTATCCAGATGGCTCAAAATATGAAGGTAATTTCTGACAATACTTCTCTCCCCTGCCAACAAGTTTTTCTCTCTGTCTCTGTCTCTCTCTTCCTCACAAACTCACAGACACACATGCACGCAAAGAGTGCACACGGTATGCAACAGGCCCAACCACAAACTGTTTCTACTGTGTTTAATTTACATTGTGTTTCAGTCAGTTTAGACCTAGTAATCACACTACATTATGGCTGTGCATAGAATTCTACAGCATACTTTCATACATCACAACTTCAGGTAACTGGGTGGAAGACCAGCGGTGTGGCCAGGGCAAATATTTCTACATAAATGCTGACACATACGAAGGAGAGTGGAGGGACCACAAGAGGCACGGGCAGGGAGTGTACACGTATGCAGAAACAGGCACAAAATACACAGGCACGTGGAAGGAGGGCAAGAGGGAAGGAGCAGGGGATCTCATACATGCTAATCACAAATATGTTGGTCAATGGAAGGAGGATAGGGTGAGTGAATGGAAGTGGATGAAATGTCGTAAATGCTTCCCTTTTCAAAAAATCAATAGATGAATAGGCAAATTAACAAAAGATGATTTTTACAGATAATGTGTGAAAATGTTATTTTGGAATATTTGAGTATGTGTTAAATATGTCATAGACATACAGTTATGTTTAATTATTACCCAAGATTTCTAATCATCACATTTTATTTTATTTTTATATTTTTGAGAACTTAGTACAATTATGATTCACTTATTTTGATAAGTCATGTGTGTCATGTACCATTTCTAGCCTGAAGGCAAGGGGAAGTATGTGTTTGACATTGGCTGCGAGCAGCATGGGGAATACATCCCTGTGGAACAGGTGAAGGATGACAAGGGCGGCGAGGAGGAGGAACAGCAGGCAGTCATCATACCAAAGTGGAAGGCTGGGGTGGTCACGGCTATCACGCTGGCCCCAGAGCCTGATGAAGAGGAGGAAGAGGAAAAGAAGGAGGAGGGAGAGAAGCCTGCAGGTGGGATATTCAGTTTTTTTTTTCTTTCTTTCTTTTTTTGCAATGACTGATTATTGGCCCTCATAGCCACTGTACAGACCATGTTCTACAGTGGGAAACCCTAGGATGTTGGAGTGGGCAATGCAACCTACATTTTCTTGATCTGGTTGGTAATTTTTAATTGATGATTTATTTATTTATGCATTTTTTTTTTTTTTTTGCGCATTTTTGATTTTACATAAAACTAGTAATATAAGATTGACAGCGCACATATCATTAAAAACAAAAGATGTCATTGACTTGTTTGCAATTTCTGAAAGTTGACTTCATGCTTCAGCCTATTTGCTTGAATTTATTTAGCTACAGCATGTGAGTTGCTAACAAGGTTTATTTTCAATTTATAATTTCATTCAGTTGCTTGCATTTTCTTTAGTTGCTATTTTTTGGGTTTTATTTTGTTGCTGGTTTAGAAACCACAGAGGCCACCGAGGGTGCAGTGGAGGGGGGTGAGGAGCAAGCACCTGCTGCGGAGACCACAGAAGGTGAGGGTGCCGAGGGGGAGGCAGAGGCTGCCCCCGCTGAGGGAGCAGGGGAGGAGGCTGAGAAGCCTGCTGCTGAGGAGGGAGAGCAGAAGGCAGCAGAGGAAGGGCAGGAGGAAGGTATGTGAAACTGTGTGGACATTGCTTGGATCATACAACAGCTTTGAGATCTTTTCTTTGGAGAGGTGGGGGTGAAGGGCATTAACCTAAATTGGCAATGAAGGAGGAAAGTTTTTGAGGGGAGGGGGGGATTATTGTGCAAATTTGTGTGCTCTGTGCTTATGTATTTTAACATGTGTTGCACTAATATTGTGTGCAGTTGCTTTTTATAATGGTTTTGTTTATAAGTCAACATAATACTTCTACTCGATGAATTCTTTCACTGCAGACTTTATGTGGAATCCATAAGTTAAACATGGTGATAATTTTGAAAACTAACAAAACATTGTTGTATGATCCAGGAGTAATGAAGTGTGAAAATGCTGCTACTACAAAATACTCACATTTATGCTTCTGCTTGAGCTTTAACAACATGAAATGAATTTTAACCAAACTCTTTGATTTAATGAATAACATTGGGAATTAATCAAGTGTATAACACAATTTTTTCAATGGCCCTCTTCATAATAAAAAAGGAAGATGACTTTCTGGGGTGCAAAAAAAAGGACCAAAATTCAGAGTAAGAATAAAATCTAATCTCACTTGATGTTTCCCAATATATATGGTTTTTTTTTTTTAATCATCTGCCCCATCTCATTCTCAGAAAAATCAATTCTCCTGCTCCGAAACACAAAAGGCAAAATGAACACAATCCAAATATTTTTTGCAGCATTTTCACGATAATCACAGCTTCACTTTTATGTACCGACTACCCTCCCAACACTGCTCTGCTGTTGTTAACATATATAACATATCTTGTACTTTCAGTGTGATGCTATGAGAAAACTTACAGGGCTAGTGTGTGTGTGCTAACAAAGACAAGTCATACAACTATGCAAGAGTTTATGCTATTTATAAGCATATTTTAAACCTGCAAATGTAATTGGTATTTTTGTCATGTAAAATGGTAGATTATTTGGTAACATACAATCTGACTTGCTTTTATTGTTAAAATGTACTTTGTACACACACAATTCATTTTTATTAGAGATTCATAAACAGAGTTTTCAATCATTTTTCACAAAAATGTTAAACCTTTCTCAACATATCCCCAGCAGGTGGCGAGGCAGCAGCAGATGCCCCAGAGTCCTCCGAGCAGGCCCCAGCAACAGAGGAGGAACCAGCTGCAGAGGGAGGGGAAGCAACTGATGGAGCAGCAGAGGAACAAGCAGAAGATGCTGCTCCTGCAGAGGAGGAAGCTGCAGCAGATTAATATGACATTTATGTGTAATAAAGAAGTGACTGGTTTCATTCAAAAACATTGTCCTGAAGATTGATATCAGACTGGTGGTTGAAGGTCTCGTTTTGAGAAATAGACCTCTTCTTCAGTCAATTGTGTAATTTCAAGGACTATTTGATAAAATACAATAATGAAAAACTTGTTTTATGATACATCTCAAAAGGTCAAGTTATATCATCTATATTAAACTCATAAGTTTGCTTTGTATATTTATTTAGCATTTCCAGAAAATTTGTGAATAAACTTTTTTGTATCAATGTTATCTAATCCTGGCCCAGATCTTTATTTATTTGTACATATGGGAGTGAGGGATAGGTCGAGTGGCTCTTGTACAATGTATAAATGAAACACCATGGAGGCACTTGATGCACTGGGTCAAAAAAAAAAAAAAAAAAAAAAAAAAAAAAAAAAAGGGACTCTCAGGACTACTCAACTACCAGACTCAGCACCAAATGATCCTGTAAATTTTTCATGTTTTGAGTTCGAGTTATAAAGGCATCAACAGTCATAAAGCATTAAAGTAACAAACCAAAGTCAATCATAACGAGGCATGTTCTTTATTCAAATGCATAATTTGTTTTCATGGAAAATACAAAATAAATTCTTAACTGAAATCAGTCTTGCTGTGTTTCACACATTTACTGCAAGATTTTTTTCAAATGACTCCAAAATACTTCTTAATAAAGTCCATCATTTTTGCCTTAATAATTGCCAAAATTCTTAATAATGTGCACCATTTCAGAGAAAAAAATAGCCTCGAGATCAGAACTTGTGCTGTGGAGAATACTGCCCATTCTGATGATAAAATCAAACTCCTCTGTATGTTGTCCAAAATTGGTGTTGTAAACATTACTCAGATATTCAATCCACAACATCAAGTCCTGACCATAATAACCTAGTAAACAATCAACGTCTATCATGCACACAACCTCCAGCGCCCTCTGACGTGTTGCCACAGGGTATCTGCCAAAGAGTTGCTCACCATGTTAGAAGTGTCATACAGCAATGTCAAACCAAACGAAGTGGATGACATCTTTAGGGGCGGACTTGGGGAAGAGTATGTCAACTGAACTTTGCTTCTTCGAATTAGACTGATGATACTGTCAATGCCTTTGTCCACAACTGACTGCATTGAAAATAGAAGCACTAATGACTTCACTTCCATTTCATTAACATGATAACAGTGAAGTTCAGATAAAATACTCCCGATACTTTTTTTTTTTTCTTAACAACCATGGAAGATAAACACCCAAGTCCATGCAGTAATCGAAGGTCACTTACAAACAATAATTTATGAGCAAGGTTTATCAACCACAGCGGTAACCACTTTAAACAATGGTCAGTTCATAATTATTGTAACCAAGATGACCAAGACTTTCTGCAATATTTAGCTTCCATGAGCCCTGGTCGCACTAGAGGGCCATGAATTAAACAAATTAGACTCCCAGGTTGAACTATGAATTCACAACTCAAAGCAACTGATCATTATCGTAATTCATAAAAATCCTTCATAATAATAATATTAAGATCACTTTAACTTGGAATGTGTGAAACAAGCTCTTCCTGGGTTCCTAATTTTTACATTTGACCTGTGATATGTACTCCTCTTCACTGGATAAAATCAAGTCTCTTATCACAAGGCCTGCATATAGCATTTACCAGCAGAGAGAGTCTGTCCGTCTTCCCTACCCCCAACCCTATGCCAAACCAGTACCTGCTATCAGTAGTCACACATTGAAAACTGAACAGAGAACAACCCCATGGTATACAGCTATTATGCACATTACTTGCCAATTTACATACTTCAGTATCAGGCAGCAGCTGATGGCTAATCTAAATGGTTTTATTTGGGGACAAAGTATTCTCTAGAATCTCCCAATATAGCATTGAACTTCATTAATTTTGGCCATCAGCTAATCCCGACCCAAACACATTATGAAGTCATTGCACCAAATAAATCGGCAGCACATTGCCGATATTCTGCATAATTACTTAACTTAAATTCATAAACAGAAACTTCACTGGACTCATTACCAGTAAAACTATTTCATTAAAGAAAAAAAAGTAACTGCCTTCTGTGCAACCAATTTCTTCTCATAAAAATCTTTAATACTTCCTGATAATTCTAATCTCCTTCATTTCACATTCTAGCACCTAGCAATTAATACAAAACCCTGTCCAAAAGGTGGCAGCACAGGCAAGTCACCTGCAGGACAGTAATACCACTTAACAGCAGGTGGCAGCATTGACAACACAACACAATGGTGAGTCGGAGATAGATAAGTTCCAACCCCTTTACTGAGATCAGATGTGTGCTGTTTACCAATGCCACCAGGGAGTGGTATACACAAAGGACACCAGCCAACTCCAGTTGACACCAGAATTGAATCATGTACTGCAACAGTCAAAAACATTCAGACACCTCTTTGTGATGAAGAAAATGCAGATATGGAGGGATTTGGGTTCTTAGTTTCCTGACTCTTCCATCACTCTTTTATTCTGTTTTTAAGCATTTTTAGCAGCCAGCGAGATATAAATAACAGCTTCATCCAAAAGGCGTCAGAATGGAGCTCGAATGAGAATATGTACAACAGATATAATAATGAATCCCTCCAGAATGTTGTCCCTGGTATGGATTGGTCTTGTCCTTGCGAGTCACCAAGAGGACATAATTCATTGCATAGTTATCAACGCCCCTTCTCAAATTATTGTCACTAATCGGACACCTGCGCATGCAATCCACATCAGACACTACATAACAGGGGGACAGCTTTTTACATCTCACCCCAAGGGTGCCTCATATGAGAGCATCACATTCTCTTACTATGTTATAAAGCTGCCTGGACTTTGCTACCAAATGAGGCTCCTTTAGGGGGGGGGCAAATAGAAATAGACTTCGGCTTGGAGTTCTGTACAAGCATTTGTAATTCTCCATTATATATAATATACAACGTCTCCATTTTGACTATGAAATAATTTTAAGTGTGCATCTGATAAACGGTTCAATTTATATAGATCTGTTGTCCTAGCTTGATAACACGCGAGTACAACCAACAAATTCATCTTAATACATTTCTTGGTTCCTGCTACAGAAAGCAAGTATAACAGTACTTATCATTGTGCATATAAACAGCTATTTAGGATTGAAAACACCACCTTGGGCTACAACTGGGTCCAGTTAGCGAATAAACTACACAACTTAAAAAGTCCACCAAACCAACATACTGAAAGCATCTGAGACATTAAGTATAAAAGGGAGAAGAAGGTCCAGCTATTCAACATTTAGAATATACATTTGATTTCATTTCGAGATCTTATGAGTGACGATTCAAAATTTTGCTCAAAAATGTCTCAGAATTTCAGCAGACTGCAAAGAATATGATTCAAATGCCAAGTGTTTTCTCAAAGAGCTGAAACCACTATTTAAGCGAATGCTCCTCATTTTGTCAAAGCCATGAATTCCAAAAATGTTTTTGAAAAATATAATAAATAAATAATAATAATAATAAAAAGTTTCATGTACTACTGTTTGACTGTCAGGATGGTGACCTTTAAAAGGACGAATGTTGCAGTTTGCAGAGCCTAACCATTATCACATTACCAAATAATTTCTTCAAGACCAGTGCAATGTTCTCAAAGCAGTTTTGGATAGAAAAAATTGAGTAAAGCAATGATATGCAATTTGTCAAAATTGTTCTATTCTTAAGCCCTCTCTATTTCAACAGCATCTAAGTAACCTAACTCCAATGGCACTAATGCACAAGACCCAAACCATGAAGTTTCCAAGATCTCTGCACAGCTAGACCTAGTTGTATCTATTTCATCATAAAATGGGAGTGACTGGCTTTCTTCTAGCATTGGACCAACATGAGCCAAACAGCACTGGGCTTAAAACAGCACAGTTTCATTACCAGGTGTACCACAGGAAATTTGCCAACTCATTGTAAGCAATCATTAGAATACCCCCCTCCCACCAAAAAAAAAAAAAAAAAAAAAAAAAAAAATCCAACCCCAATATCTGGACCATCATTCAGAATTGCATGCATAAATGGATAATGTTGAAGTTCTGAATTCTTTTCTCCTTTTCTCACCTACCACGCTGGGCAGGTAGAGGGTGTGGGATGCTGAGCTTTCAGTTGAGTACTTTCCAATTCTGAAAGCACTCCGCATCCAGATGTGCAGAGCAGTGCTGACACTATGTACAATGGAATCGATAGCAAAAAAATACACATCTATCAGCCATGTGCAACTTGATCTGCCAGTGGGCTTTAATAAATACTAGAATAGTTTGTGTCCTGCCCATAGGAATGTTCAGAAGCTGCCAGTACTTCCTTGACAGTTAACTTCCAGACAGTACTTTCATCCAACTCCTTTTGCTAATTTTTTTTTCTTGAATAAACATTTTCTTTTCATCAAAGTGCATTTTTCACATTCTATTTCATTTTCATTTTCTAGTTGATTCCTTTTCTTTTCAACTTGCATCTCAAAAAATGTTTCTTTTTAGTGCTCAGTTATTACACTGACCTTTGCTGCCTTTCTTTATATATTTCACATTTTCCCCAGTTAACGGCTAGGTTACAATGAACTTAATCTCATGCTTTCCCTTGAATGATGTGTTTAGTGGGTCCTGAGGTTGAATGGGAATTGTGCAAACATCACTTTCATGGTTTGAGACTGTCTGCTGCACTTTTTTCCTTTCCTATAGCTTGGAATTGCAGCATCAATGCCTTCCTTGTTCCTAGAATTTTCACTTGTAACAATCCCTTCCTTCAGCCTGGCCTGGCAAAGACTCGGACACAATTTTTAAAGAGTTCTTTGCAACAGATATCTGGAAAATGTTAAATTCTTCAGTCTAGATTCTTTTTCTCTTCTTGAAATTCATTATCTCCAACTGGTTCTGTCCACATTATACCTGGATAGGGCACTTTATAAACCAGACATCTTTTAAACTTTTGACCACACACTGAATGTACTTTCCTTTTCATCAACTAAAACTTCCATCACTATGTGCCTAAGTTCCTTTCAAACTGCCACACTGCAAATTATTCTTAAAACTCAAGTCAAAAATATAAAATAAGGGACACAAGTGTAATGTTGACTAACCACCGCTAAGTAACGAATCTTTTATCTTGTTCTTTTTGATTTCTTAAATGTGTAAGTTTCAAAGAACGTCTCTGTAGAAAAAACTTAAAATCTCACTTGTTCCTTCAGCAAATATCAAATCATGAACTTTTACAGGTTCCCGTCATCCTCATCTTGGCTTGACAACTTAAAGTGCACTTGTGAACTCATCATGTATTGAAACCAGGTCAAAAAAAAAGTGTAGCAGAGGAAGATCATGGCATGAAAACACATCCAGACTCACGCAAAGTGTATTTGTCAATGAGTAACACCCTACCAATCCAAGGACACTTGAATATCCTGTGTTGTCTTTTATTATTAATGAAATACTGGCAAGTCAAGTCACACACAGCTGACAATATTGCGCTAGATGAGACAGCTCCTGTGTCTCACCCAACGCAATGGTTGTTTCCCTGAGTGGTTTATTTGGTCTCTTTCTTCTTCAGCTCCTCCTCATTGTCAGGATCGGGTTCACTGCCATACTCGGCCACGTACAAAGCCTTGTCAATCACCTTGGGGATAGGTTTGATTTCAGTGCCCAGCTCCTGTTCTATCTTATGAAGGGCGAATCTGGAATGGTTCAACAAAGCAATGTTAAACAGATAATAGTTATGTATATGTTATGTTCAGCATTATTTAGGACTAATTGAACCTTGAGCATAGCCGTCTCTTTTCATATGTATTACTGCCATTCACTTGATTTCAGAACTCTCCCGAACAAAAAACCCTTCAAAACTTGCCTCATATTAGCAGGGTATGTGATCAGCATAGACACCTCAGAATGTGAACAGCAATACCAGTTTTAATCATAGGCAAGATCAAATTATTAGTTATATCAAAGATTATTAAGTTATATTAAAAGAGGCACAAACACTCCTTACCTGTCTTCGTAAGTTATAAGATTGATAGCGATGCCAAGATGGCCGTATCTTCCAGACCTGCCAATACGATGCAGGTATGTCTCTGCGTGCTTGGGGAAGTCAAAGTTGATGACACAGTTTACGGCTTGAATGTCAATACCTCTGGTGAACAAGTCTGTGGAAATGGAGAATTATAACATTTCAAAATCAAAATTTCTACATATGCAATCATCTTAAATCAAATATATAGGTAAGCCCCCCCCCCCCCTCACAAAAAAACTCATTAGAAAACATATTTCAATAGGAACTTCTTTCCATAACTAACCCATGGGAAAAACAATCCACATAAAACAAATTACCAAGTTTCACATTAACCTTGCTTTGTACTGCTCAGACAGCCTTAATGGCCTATATTGCTCTTTACACTTAAGCCATGCCAGTGGGTTCAGCCATTTCTAGCTCTGGCACTATAGCAGCCTCAGTGCTTGCAATAGACAGAGTTCATCATTGCAGTGAGCAGCTACTTCGAGAACAGATATTAAGGTAAGGTTATCTAGACACAAACTGAAAGGAATTCTAAAGAAAGATCTGTATATTCTATGCCACTACTTCAACAATCCCTAAGAGATATTTGGTTTCTGACTTTCTGTCCAAACATACAAGCACGCAGACACATGCTGACATGTGCATGAACACCAACCAACGCACACGCATACAGACATGCCCACTGATCTCCAAATCTATTGAAACTCACCAGAACAGACCAGATGCCTGCAGTGTCCAGCCCTGAAGTCATGGAACACCCTGTTTCTGTGCTGCTGGTTCATCCTGGCATGAATATAGAAACAGGAGTAGCCGAGCTCAGTGATTTTCTTGGCCAGAAGCTCTACACGCTGCGTCGAGTTGCAGAATATTATACTCTGGTTGATTTGTAGCTGAAAACACAAAAGAGAATACATGATACAGTCGTGGGTGAGAGCTGTCATCATGGAGATTGTTTTCCCTTGCAATGGTCCATGTAAGTGGGTGTGGAGAATTTTTTTTCTTTTTCACACATAAAAACTGTTGTCATACTGTAAATAAATAGCAAGTGGTATTCCCTATCTTGGCTCAGTCAAAATGTTAATCATGATTAGTACATAAATAGATAAACAATTAATAGAATTCCTTGTTCTGCTCAGACAGCCTTAATGGCCTATATTGCTCTTTACACTTAAGCCATGCCAGTGGGTTCAGCCATTTCTAGCTCTGGCACTTTAGTAGCCTCAGTGCTTGCAGTAGACAGTGTTCATCATAGCAGTGAACTGTTCCCAATTCTTCCTATTCTGTCTGCAGTAAACAAACCGACAGTGATCAGAATTACATGTCGACACAGGCGAAGTTCTTTCACAATCCTCGCACAGCTTTTCACCAGCAAGGAACAGACAGCCTTAGTACCAAATATGCCACTCATTTGCACTTTAATAAATATAATTTTAAAATATCATTCTTTTTTCAGACTAATAAGTTTGTGTGGTTCAATCACTGTAGTCTCACCTTAGAAAAGAGTGTGTTCAGGCAATGGACTTTCTGCCTTTCCTGTACAAATGCATAATATTGTGTCACTCCTTTCAGGGTCAGTTCGTCCATCAAGTTGATCTCATAAGGGCTGTTCAAGTGCTTCTTCTGTAAAATGGAAAAAACACAATTGTGCTTTGAAATTTTCCATCTCTTTCATGTCATAAGGGGTTTTAACATGAAACCCTTTGAGCAAAATAGTTTGATTGCTTGACACTTTCATCTTCCTGCATAATTGTATTTTTTATTGATCTTGTAATTTATCTATTTTATTTCAATTTTTACCAAATTTTTATTTTTATTTAGCTAAAATCATCCTAAAATCATCATCAAAATTAGGAGTACAGTACTAAAACTCATAATAAAACACCTCACCATTTATTTATTGTTATTTAAATGTTTTTAGACTAATATAACATCAACTGACTAAGGCAATCTCACTTTAACAGTCCAAGTTAAGCCCAACATCCACAGACTGCATATTGCAGGATAGACTCACCATAAATGCTTCCACCGTCACTGGGAAAGTGGCAGAATAAAGTAAGATCTGCCTGTCATTTGGTAAGTGGTGAATGATGCTGTCCAGCATACCCTTGAAGTCCTGGGACAGCAGCTTGTCTGCCTGAAATTACACACAACACAATCTTCTGTAAAGGCAGTATATTCACTCAAGGGAATTTGGGTGCAAGGAGCATACTTATAAAACACAAAATAGGCATTATTCCTTTGGTTGGTATTACAAATACCACATACACAATCTTTAGAATAACCTTTGTTCAATATGGCCAATGGTGTGCTTGAGATATTTCATTTAAGAAAAAATGGTGTCATTCAGGTGTCAAAATTATCCATCATCGCTCATCAGCAGCAGAACTGGACAAAAGGTTTCATCATTATGACACTAGTTTCCAAGTTATCATCTATCTATGAAGTACATCATTAAAAAACATAAAACAGCACAAGAAAAGACATACCTCGTCCAATACTAATATTCCACACTTGCTGGCTTTGACAATATTTTTGTTCATCAGATCTAACACTCTACCAGGGGTTGCTATGACAATGTGGACTGGAATCAACAACAAACATGTCAATTTCTTTCAGGAAAAAAAATTCTGGCTTAATTATTACATCATAAATATGACCCATCACTGCAAATTGCACATACCAAACATCCTAGACAAGTACTTTCCTAATAAAACCAGGGAGATCACGGAAATGCAAAAGCAACTATTTATCAGACAGGTGGAGTTGCCAGCACACCTCCTCACATTGGCCAAGTATGTGATCAGCACAGGCAACTCAGAATGTGAACAGCAATACCAGTTACAACCACAGGCAATATCACCATCACCCAGACTTCACCCCTAATATTTCTACATGTCAAGGGATATCTATGCCTTTCTTTTTCTATATCCAAAAGAACATCTACAGAAATATAATATAGCTTTCAAATTTGATATATATAACAAAACATTCACACTGCCATCATGTATGACACAAAACGCCCATGGCCTGTCTTCAACGAACTCACCAGGTTCATAGAGCCTCATAATATCATCCTGTAGGTTGGTGCCCCCTGTGGTCACCATACACTTGCAGCCTATGTGCTTGGACAACTCTATGCATATTTGACTAGTCTGTAAAGCCAGCTCCCTTGTAGGTACAATGATCATGGCTGGAAGGAAAGACAATAAAAACTTGTCAAGTGTTTAAGTTGAGATGGCAGAGAAAAACACTTAGTCAATATTGCACGTTTCCTTCCTTGCTCTTGAAAATTTTCGCTTTTTAAAACAACACACACAAAAGGATACATCAAAGTACTGAGAATTTCTTACGCAGAATTGAAGACAATCAAATATTTTGTCTTCCATCTTTTCCCACCCTATTGATTTTTAACATTTTATGTAAACCTATTATCATTTTTTTTTATCATTCTTTAAAAAGATTCCCTCTTTATTAATTTCACTAGTTCTCAACATCCAAATCAATATCTTACCTTGAATTTCATTCTTATTAGGGTCTACTCTTTCTATGATTGGAATGGCATAGGCCCCAGTTTTACCGGTTCCATTTTTGGCACGTGCTAGCACATCTCGACCTGAAATCAAAGATAAATCAATAAAACTGCAATCATCCAGCATACAAAAAGAGACCTTCTCTGGCAGACTACAGATATAAAAGGTTTCGTTTGAACCCAAAACAGTACACAAATTTCTACTAGGGTATATTTCATTTCATTTATCAACACATTGTGGCTTTAATTGAAAATTAAGATATTTAAAAATATTCAGAAATATGGAATACGAGTGTGTATGCTACCTGTCAATGCGATGGGGATGCTAGCTTCCTGGATGGGGGAGGGCGTCTCCCAGCCTTTCTCATATATACCCATCAAGAGATCTCGTTTAAGGCAGAAGTCCTCAAATTCATTGCCTTTTGTATTTGTCACATCCTAAAATATAATAAAAATATTAATAGTAATACATGATCAAATTAACGTATCACATAAATATTCATTTCAACATAAAACACTATGTATCAGATACAAAACCTGTTGACCCACTTTTTCCTCCTCAACGATATATTAAAATATCTCAAACATGACAGAATTGTCATTTTAGGCATGACTGGGGAAATAAAAAACAATGCCATCATTTTTTTTTACAATTAAGATCTTCCTCAAAGCCAGGTGCAGTTCCGCTGTTTTTACCATATGCTTATCACAAGTTATCTGAGTGTAAGACACACACACATAGCCTATTTGTCTAGAAACGTTAGACCAATCACCAATCTAAGTTAGTCTAGGTGTAATCACACCCCAAGTGAGATCTGTGTCATTCAGGTGTCAAGGTCATCCATCATTGCCTTTCAGCAGCAGAACTGGACATAAGGTTTCATCATTATGACACTGGGGTGCTTCAACAGCAATAGTTTGTGGTGGAGAAATCATATAAAGAAAATAATTTCTACTCACTGTAGTTTTGACTCTTTTGTCTTTTGGGGGGAGGTGAAGCTGTTTTTTCCATTCTGTAACAGACTCCCTATAACAAATAGAAAATATGCTCAATAAAAATAAGAAAATCAAACTCATGATGCTTTCCATATACATACGACTTAGCAGTACAAAATGACTTTAACACGATACCTTGAAAATGAACCACATTTTCACTAGTTGCCTATAATAATTTGTAACCTAACACCTTTGGGCCACCCTGAGCTCCAGAGCTAACTTGACACTAACCTTTTCACTGTAGCCTATCTCCATCGTGTCAAGTAACCTCTGACGAAAATAGTTTGACCTATTTTATATAAGCCAATCGAATCCATGTTTCAAAATTTTTCACCAAAGTTTGGTGAAAACGCTGATTGGTTGATCGTCAATCGGCAATCCTCGGCTGATTCCGCAAGCTCCATACTAACAACATAGTTATTGTCGAGTGCGGAGACATCCGAGTAGTTCCGAGTGGTTCCGAGTGCATCACCGTACACAAAGAAAGCATGGAGTATATCGGAATTGAAACCAGAGCAGTATGATGCCCTGCATCATTATCTACTGAGGGATGATGTATTTTGCGTGCTGCCCACAGGTTACGGCAAGTCCCTGATATTCAGCCTTATCTTTGATTGGTCCGGATTTGAACAAAGCGCGCTTTGACTCGTTCGCGTTCATTGGCTAGATCGTTCAATGAGTCATTGAGTGCGGGCTTTAAATTTGATTGGCGGGCGGCGGGGGCACTCGAATCTGGTCAGAGGTTACTTGACACGATGGAGATAGGCTACAGTGAAAAGGTTAGTGTCAAGTTAGCTCTGAAGCTCAGGGTGCTTTGGGCAGGATTTCAAATGAGAATCAAACAATTTCTTCTACTAATCTTACACTATCCCCTCAACTGCAACACTGTTGATAAAAATTTACCACGTTTTGTGTAAATGCATGACATATTCACACAGGCTACACACAGGAAGGATCTACATTATTTGCTGACAGTCATGATACACACCCCATAGTGATCTTCTCTCCCGCCCCTACTTTATTCTGGGCCACGTGGTTGGTCGAATTCTGTTCCACCTGAGCCGCCATCTCAACTGTAGAGGGCGCCTGTGGCTGGGTGAATTGTATATATGATAATAACGATGAGTAATGAGTGAAATGAAGATGACGTATGACTAAGATCTGTACAAGCTGATGAAGTGATGAGTCTTTTCAATGATGATGATGGTTTAGTTGTTGCAAATCTCTCTTCTTACACTGGAAAGGGACGTATTCCACCACACACTTGCATACACAACAGGGTTGCCTGAAAATGATGAAAAAAAAATTGAAAAATAAATAGTGTTTTTAAATTTAGCAATATAAGTTTTTCATTCCAAAAGTTAAGATATTGGGAGTGCATAAAAATGTACAGCGTGTGTTACCTCTTTGCCTCATATTAGCGGGGTATGTGATCAGCATAGACAACTCAGAATGTGAACAGCAATACCAGTTATAATCATAGGCAACTTGGTAACAAACAGAGATTCCCCAGGATTTGGGATACAGAGAGTCCAAAATATTAACATGTCATTTAGTCAACAATTTACAGCGAGTCCAACCCAAGCAAGCCCAACCAAGCAACCCAAAAATTTTGGAAGCCGTCCAGCTGTCTTTGGAATTACAGGCCAGCTTCTGAGTCTAATTGCTACCCAAATGACATCTGGACGGCCATCTGGGGAAAGCCTTGGTAACAAAACAACATGGGTATGACACTGTAAAGGGATAACATGTTACAAAGATAAATCACCATTTAACTTATTTACTTTAAATAATGATCGATTTACTTAAGTCTATAAACTTGAAATGTTAAGCGAATGATTTTGAAATTGTTAAAATATTAACTGCAAGTATTTTGTAGTTAAGCATCTGGACGAAAACTATCCAAAGTTCTGAGCTCCTTGATTTAAGTCACTAGCTAATTAAGAGGCTGCGCATTTAAAAATGGCCGCCTCAATGCAAATAAGGCATTGAACTATCTATTTTAATTACAGTTAGTAGCCTACATCACATTTGTTGCGTTGCACTTTCCCTTTGTCTTAGCTCTATCGCCACAGGAAGTGGTTAAACTTCGCGATGTTTATGCTACAAATGGAGGCCCAAATCCATCTTCTTAGGGGAAAATATAACGCTTTTTATACTGAATACATATTTAGTTTTGAAACTCACCAATGTCTTGCGGTTTAAAGAAACCTAGATCAGGGATGTTTCTAGATTTAAAAAGCTAATGTTTCTGTACCCTCCTCTAGCGGATCCAATATGGCCGACGTTTAAATTTCCCCTTTTCAAGAGTGAAAATTTCCTTCCTTGTTGAGTATGCTGAGAAGTATACATGGGGGGGAAGAGGTTAAATTTCAACCCTACTCTTACTCACCTTAAATATGTCAACAATTGCGAAAAATATTTCTAATATCAAGCCGCTTTGTGTCGACAATTTTCCATACACCCGGTCATCTGAATCTGTGGGTCGAAGGTCAGAGTTCAGCGGAAGCAGAATCTCTATGCGCAGTGACCTGTGCGCTGCTGCGACGTTGTTAGTGTAAACAATTTATATAATCTCCACTAGGTGGCAGTCCCATCAGACACCTGCAGCAGTGAAACGAGTGTGAGCGAGTCTGTTTCATGATCAAATGACAGTACCTCAGTAAGATTTAGTGCCATGTTTGTACCTACACAAATGTTCGAAACAGTTGGGAAGCCAAATGTAAGTGAATTTAAAACACAGCAACCGTGCAACACACCAGAGTCTCCAAACTTTGCTTAATAATAAGAATAATGTCCCGTGTAATAATCCTATTTACCCAAGTCATTAGTTGAATACTTGTGGGGGATGATAGTGCACTTTTTAATTAGCCTAGTTGAACACTTGCGCAGAGGTCGGTCTATTCTTTAACTTTAAGGAGGTAAATGTTGAAATTGTCGATTTGTGGAAGTTATACTGGCACGCAAACCCATACAAAGTCCACAGAAGCATATAGTGGTACATATGTATGTTTTATAACATTATAACAATAAATTGTCTGATTAAATGGGTACAAAAGCCATGTATTTCTTAACTGTTAGATAATACTAGTGCATGTAATTTCATCTTAAATCACCAAGATATCTTTGTCATATTTTTTAATGAATTATTGGCATAATAATTGTATATAATGTGAGATGCCCCAATTTAATCTGTTTTGCAATTGTTCATTAGTGGCACATACATTGTAGTACAGTTGTGTACACAGTGGCTGGGACCTACTGTATAATACATGCTTCTTGGCTTAACACTGCTCTCTCCCCTCCCAAGATACAAAAATATAGCACATGAGACCAATATATATATTCTACAAGTCTTTTTGTATTGTTTTAGAAGGAGTAGTACCGGTTGTGATAATGGCAAGTAAGGGAAGAAGAGATTCTACTGCAGATAGCAGGACAGAAGCTGCCATTTTGAGGAACAGAGTTAAAGAAGTATGCTTCTGTTTTTTTTCTGATTTATTTTTTAAGAATGCTATACCTGTATACTTTAATAAATTATACTCAGTTTATAAGTGCTAAAATGATTCTGCTTTGTTTATTACTTGATTAAAACAAAGTGCCCTCCATCTAATATACAGTTAACTTGTATTTCAGCAGTCATTCATCAAATTTGTTTACCTGGTTAACATATTGATATTTCATTGTTACCAGATATTTCCTAGTATTTTTATTGTAATTTCTGACATCATTCTAGCTTGAGACAGAGGTGAGCAGTTTAAAGAAGAGACTAGAAGATCTGAGGAAAGCCAAGAACACTACGGTGCTGAAGCGTGAGAGGGAAGTTATCAATGTAGGAACACCCTTTAGCAATAGGTAGGTGAACCTGTCAGCTCTCCTAATTTTGTCTGGAGTCTCCTGATTTGGGGAAATTTTCCTCTGTATAACAATTAAAGGTACACTCCATGGGTTTGAAAATCCCCTAAATGCTTATTATTGCCATCCACAGCTTCTTATAAAATCTTACATACACCTTGAAAATGATTAAACCCTTGACATATTCTTTTTTGGAAGCTACCTGATTTTGATATTTCCATTGGAGTTAATGGGAAAATGGTTGCTGTTATAATGACTGGCCAGTCATTTTCAGCTAAGATCAACCTTTAAAAAAATTATCAAAGGTCAAATCCAAGTGCAGAGAGGGATAGATAAATGATTGTAAGTACCAGAAAATTGCTTATTTTCCTGGTTAAAATCCATTTTGGCAGGTAAATCTTATGGGATGTACCTTTAAGTGTCAGACTTTTTTGCCTCTTTGGTTGTATCTTTTGGTAGTAAAGTTGCTTATTACAAAGAAAAGTGCAATTTTTTTGTTTGTTTTTACAAGTGGGTGGGGGATTTGTCAGCAGAAAATGCAGAGCTTACTCTGGCAGTTTTCATTCTTGATAGATAAGGGCAGGATTCCAAGATATATGTATTGCAGAGGTATTCATGTTTTTTTTTTTTTTAGATAATTTTTGTCATTTTATTTCATTTTATGTTTTAGAGAAGCTAAGCAGGGACCTGATCAGGGAAAAGAAGTGGAAGATCTGAAGAAAAAATTAGAAGCTGCTAAGTTGAGTGCTGAGGTAAGAAAAAAAAAGAACACACTGCCAAAGCATACATATAATGCTTTAAAATCTCACATTTTGCACAAAAAGGGCCAATTTTCTAAAATGACATCTTTAATTAGAGCTATAAAAGGGAGAAAAATCTCTTGGACTACTGTAAGCAACAGAAACATGTTGAACATACTTTTAAATGCTCCCAGTTTCGAATATATGTGGATAACCTGGATATTTAAACTTAAAGTATATTTTATTAAAACCTTTTAAAAAACCTTAAAAGAAAACAATAACAATGCATTATCATCTGTATTTGTAATATTTGTCATTACAAGTAAAATCTTTGGATTTTCAGAACACAAACTGTGGTCATGACAAAATCATCGAAGATTTGAACAGCACAATAATGACCCTCCAGGCAGAGAACTACTCCCTGGCAGAGAAGGCAAGCAGTCTGGAGGCAGACAATGCTGCCCTGGCCATTCATAATGGGTATGCATCTTGATATGGAAAGGAATTATTTGTTTGTTTTTTTTATTATTCTGGAAGAAAGGTCGAACTTGTGTAAGAGCTTGATTTAGGGATGGGGTGAGGGGCATTGAAGGATGCACAGGAGGCATGTGTCTCTCTCTCTTTTTTTTTTTTTTCTTTTGCATATTTAATTTAATGCTCTATCAGGTTGTATTTGATTTTGAAGAGTAAATACTAGTAATTGTTTTTTACCTCCACCAAGGAGGTTATGTTTTCACCCCTGTTTGTCTGTCTGTCTGTCTGTCTGTCATCAACATACCTCAAAAAGTTATGGACCGATTTTGATGAAATTTTCAGGAACTGTCAGAATTGGGCCAAGGAACAGATGATAAGTTTTTGGTGGTGATCCGGATCAATAATCAATAATAATAAAAAATTGCTGCCTTGGCGGAGGTCTGCGCTCTCGGAGTGCTTTTCTAGTCTTGACTTGAAATGATAGTAATGGTATACATAGCGAACATGTTAATGAAGTGATTATTTTAGGTGAAATTTTCTTTATGTATGTCTGTGTCTGAGTGAAGACCTTGCAATGTTTAGAAAATAATTTTGTTAATTATAAGTACTAACTTTGTGATGTAACACAGTTTGAAACTATGTATTTCAGTGACCTGACTGAAAGGGTCAGCAGCTTGTTGGCAGAGATGAGTGAGCGTGAAGCTCAGAAATGTGAGAAAGAAGAGGTGATAGAGGCAAGGGTATGTTACAATCATGGTGCAACCAGCACAACCAAACTCAGTATTGTCTCACCTAACACAATTGCATTAGTGTCTTTTCTTACAAAATATCAGTCAGATCTCTCTTTACACAATTTCTGTCCTATCTCCTCTGACACATGCCATCATGCCCATCTAATACAATGACAGTCATGCCACTCCTAACAATCACAGCTTGCAGCACAATCTGAGCCATGTCACACTCATCCAGTCACATCCTCATCACAACCAGCACAATTCCAGTTGTGTCACACCTAACACAATCTATGATCATAACTGTGTCACTACTTGCTTTTTATTTATTTATTTATTTATTTATTTATTTATTTATTTATTTATTTATTTATTGTTCTTGTTATATATCAATTTTTCTTTGTAAATTTTTTTAAAGTTTTGACACCTGGACAGTGAATAAACATTTAAAATAATATCAGAAAAAATACATTCAAAATTTGCACTTTACCTCATTCCAATATTTTAATATGAGAAATGAAAAAAGTACTATATACCAAAATTTAATCTGTGTGGCACAGCATATGATTAAAAAGCATCAAGAGAAATCTATGATTGTTCCTTTGATATTATAGTTAAAGGTGAAGTGGCAACAGATGTATCAGGAGTGGATGGCTGCCACTGAGCAGAAGATAGAGGAACTACAAGCTGCTAATGCACTTCTGTAAGTACAGACATCTAGCAACAATTTTAATAACTTATAGTGGAGCACAGAATTATTCATAATCTTCACTACCCTAAACTTACGTAAGCATTTTCAGTGAGTTGTGATTTGTTCACTTTCATGGACAAACTTCCCTAATTATAATTATTTGTCTCTTTTTTTCAATGAATTTTTAGTTTTATCATTTTTTCCTTTTGTTTTATGTAAATCAAGTGTATGTTATTTGTATTTCAGGCGTCGCATGATAAGACCTCCACCAGATGAGACAGATTCTAGTTCGAAAAGATCATGATGCACAAGTCACATGTGACAGCCAATATGTCTTTATGTAATGTCAATTAAGGGAATTGTGGTCCAAGATGATATATATTGACATTGTGCATCATAATTTTTGGTGCATTTCATACTGTGTGCTCAAAATTTATTACCCTGTGTGTGTGTTTGTGCATGCATGTTTTTTTTTTTTTTTGTGTGTGTGTGTGTGTGCGAGAGAGAGAGAGAGAGAGAGAGAGAGAGAGAGAGAGAGAGAGAGAGAGAGAGAGAGAGAGAGAGAGAGAGTCAGTGTGATAACTTGTTCTTCATGACTTTCACATATATTTATCAATTATGTTGTTTATAAAATGATTATGCTAATTTTTAATATAGATCAAATTTGACTACAGTTTGCCATGTCAGGGATAAAGTAGAGATACGCCCATCTTTTAGTGGGATCTTGCAAATAACTGTCGATTAGATCTGCTTTTTTATGTAAGAATAAAAAAAGAGAGAAACTAGTAGTTCAGTTGAGGATATTTATTAAAGTTATGTTGTAGTGCTATATAAGTTTATCATTTGATGTATTTTTTTAAACTTGATGGAATTTTTTTCCAATCTGGCCTGCAGCAAGAAGTACACTGAAAAGTGACTGCTTAGGGCAAGTTGTTTTTATGCCAGAAGAGCAAACTAGAAGTTTTTATCAAAGCTTCAGTGTAAATTTATAGTTTAGTTTTATATTGGATATAGTATTTTGAAGATGAACATTTTAAAGAAATGAATGTTGTACTTTTGTAATATATTTTGGACAGTAATTTTGATTTTTGCTCCATCCATGTCTTAAATATGTCTTAAACTAAGCAAAATCTGTTACAACTAGTATGCTAGTTATTTATGTACTTTAAGAATTTTAATTAAAAAGTGTGCATATGAAATGCCATCATATCAGAATATAAAACGATGACAACAATGTATGAAAATTGGTAAACTTTAAATGGAGAAACTAAAACAATATTTCGATAGATATTGTGCATAATACGAATGGGGGAAAATGAACAAAACATTCTCAACTGATAGAAATCGTGGTTTCTGTTTGTCGTACATTTTTATTACCATATCAGCCGATCCAGTGGAAAAGGAAAAGAAAAAAAACTGAACGCTGACATTTTTCTCCGACTGCTAGAACAATCTGCTTTCAACAGTGAATGGTTTTATATTAGTTTTACTTCGGCGCACACAAAGTTTTGGAAAGACTGATTGGAGCGTTTGCGAACATCTAGTATCATTCTGAGGTATCATGGGCGTCACTTTTCTCGTGGTAGTCATGATCCAAAGTCCTTAAGGGAACGCCTGAGTTCCAGGAAAAGCCAGAACATTTCGTCCATCATATTTCCCTGGTGTTCCTGGCGTCGGAAAGAGGGCGCCACGTGCGGTGCCGCTCCCCATGACGTGATGTTCCACGGTGCAGTCTATGATCACTGTGCTGGTGGGGGGAACGAAGCTAGTACAAACATACTCGATCGACAAGGGCTTTCTCTCCGAATAATCACTGCCGAAGATGGTGTCTTTGGAGCAAATGCCGATGACGTAGTCCCCTTTTGAAATCTGTGCTCCCGCTGCTAGGTGTGTGCCGTCGCGCGTTGTAAAGTCGGCCTCGACTTTAATTCCCCAGCCTGCAATAATAATAATAATAATAATAATAATAATAATAAATTACTCGAGTTAATTCACGCAAAATGTGGGACAGGTAAAGGAGGTTATACATTTTCCTGTTGTAATAATAAAGTTGGCTGTCAGCTCTATGAACTGGGGGTAAAATGAACAATTACATGAAATAGATTGTCAGTACCCCCTATCAGGGACACAGATTGTTTTTTCACTAGATATTCATTGATGTGTCTCTGACTAATTCATTTCTTGCGTTGAAGAAAAGAGCACATAAAATGATAAATAATTTCCGACCCTGGTGAAAATGGTCAGGATTTCCATCATTCCGTGACAGAAAAAATTTTCAATGTGATCAACAAGCAGTGCAGTGTGCAGAAACGAAGGCACTTCATTACAACGAAATTAAATAATTTACTTTGAAATAAAAGAAAAACACTGACCTCCATTAGAGACAAATGAATTGAAGAAGGAAGCCTCGTTGCCTTTACTCCCTGAGATTAGACGGTATCTGCCAGACGGGTTGAGGAGGTAGTTAAAGAAGATCACTTTGCCACCGTTGTCGTCATAGATAGTAGCGAAATTCCCAGGTGTGCTCTCAAGAAAGGCTTCATCCGGCAAGTAGGTAAAGTCGATGCCGTAGGTAGTCTTTAAAAGAGAAAACGTTAGCGTTAGCTCAGGAAAATACTGAGATAGCGTTGATGTGTCTTACCAAACCAACGCTTGGCACCCCCCCCCTCCCCGCCATCTACATCCAGGGCGGAAAAGTGCGCACTCTTAAGACAAATTATTTGTAACCTGTAACTAGGTTAATTCGGATTGATACCAACCTAACCGACAAAACAGTCACAGTCAATAAATACATCAGTTGAGACTTACATACCGAGCAAGGTTTTACAGAAATTACAAATCTTTGCATCGAACGTTCATACTTTGATTTTGTGGGATGGGGGGAGGGGGGTGAAAAAAACTGAAATGGTCATCTTTACTTGCCTCCCAGTCATATTTTATTAAAAGTAATGACAATTACGTCAACTGCATTATCGCCTCTCAATCCCCTTCATTGTTTCTTGTCACTTACTTTGATCCATTCCGCCGTTTCTCTGCCCTTGGCAATGGCCTGTGCTTCGCCTCTGCCTGCTTGTCTCTGGTGCTTGGCAAAGCTGTCTTTATCGTACAACCAGCCAAACATGCCGTCGAAGACGATCGTCAGAACGTAGTCATAGCACGGCAGAGGGTAGTTGGCATTCAGCGCGTTCTCCCCGCCGCTGCCGCTGCAGCCAGTGTAATTGAAACATTCTCTGCCACGTTGTGCCTGTGCTACCGAGACGAGATGCCGTTCCGGCAGTTCTTTCTGTACTTGTGCTGGCAAACGGCGTGTTGGGAAGTGGCTGAAGGATAACACGGGGAGGATGGCCGCTGAGAGTAGAAGGAGAAGCGAGCTGGAAGTAAACACTAATGATACATTTACAATGACACACAAGTGCCAGATTTCAAGCGAAATGACGTAAAATCAAGGTATTAAGGAATGTGCCATACACAGTACAGTAAAATGCACCGGTAAAGAGAATACATAAAGATCACCATGTTTAACACAAAGTACCATGATTGTAAGTAAATAAGTTTCCTTTCGAAAATATTTTTAAGGGAAGCCAAAACCATTGCCAAATTAGATAAAAACAATGACACGAGAACAGTTTTAGTAACGTTCATTGTATTACTCCAATTGTTACTGTTGGGCACGTGAATTAACAAAAAGGGGCATGACAACAATGTGCGACCGCTTGCGCGCACGCAAACACGCACACACACACAAAGCGGTACGAAAGCTGCAGTTTCCATTTGTCGTCAGGCAGGATCATGTGCTAGACAAAAAAAAAAAAAAAAAAAAAAAAAGATAAGGCACTTCGCGTCTCAGCCCCTATATATCAATAAAACAGCGTTAACCTGCAAATGGTCATAACTATCCTTGCTGTCACTTCCCTGACAGCTTTATTGAAGCTAGGTGATATATATGTGGCCACTAGTCCCCTATATTAGACTCACCTATTGAATGTCTTCATGCTGTCGTTGTGTAGATCTTATATTAGTCCTTGACTTTATCTGTTTTTCTCTTTGAATGCAATCTCTCTCTCTGTGAAGGGTATTCGGCCGCACACGTCAATTTATAGTGAAAGAAAAATGAATTTAAAAGATAATCTCTACCCGCAGGTAATTTGAATGATAATTAAAACCGCCATCTCTTGGACAAATTTGATTACTATTGGTCTTGATGACAGATAATTTCTACAGATTATTTTATGATGTCAATATGTCGATGCATGCGCGTGTCGTGAAAGTTAATAATAAAAGTCGCGGAGATATTGAGCCTTAACGTAATATACATAACTCAGCGAACGTTACAATTGTTTCTTAGAAGAAATAAACTATTTAGATTTAAATGCATCGATAAAGATCTTCTTTGTTTGGTGCAATCATCAAGATTGTACCAAACACAGTAGATCTTTATAGATGCATTTAAATCGAACTTATTTATTTCTTACATACAAGATCTATACGGTGATTTATGGTAAATCTACAATTGTTTCCTATGAGCTGTTATGACGTCATGGACGAAATTCATAAATTCTATCTTGTACATGCTATCTCTGAATTATGACCGTTATGATTATAGCGCTGATGGTAATTTTCGAGAAAATAAGTTAGATTACCTTAAAAGTTACCATTAAGTACAGTTACAAATTATAGATTCTAAATTGCCTATAACTAGCAAACCATGGAGGATTTGAAAAAATAAATCAGAAATAAGGTGAAATTACCTTTCCTTGTGCATATATTCGCAATGCGGCATTGACTTCCTGTTTACTGTGGCTTAAATAAAATTTCACAATGCTGTAGGTTATATAGACAGGAAAATACCGATAATCACTTCTTGAATCGCCAGCTACTTTGTCTTTAACACCTTGGTTCTTGCTAAACTTACCAATACAAGTGTGTCAGAAAATATTTAGCACAGTCTGTATATCTAGATATTTGAAAAGAAAACCTGTCAATACAGCGCAACGGCGACCGGGTACGTAAAAGATAATAGTATAAACAACTATACAGTATGTGACTATGAAATTGCTTTGTGTACTGAAAAATATAAAAATCGATAGAGATCAACGCTGTAAGAGGATCAATTCAAAGGAATCGATATCGTCGCGCTAGAATGGATAAAAAGTCATATACTTCAGTACTTCTGAGAAACGACATATTAGCACGGTAACTATGGATACTACAGAATGGGTACTCAATTGATAAGACGACTAGGAGAATAATGAAAACAAAACAAAAACAACTGCACTGCAATCATTTCACCTACGCAAATAACCACGCAGATATTGAAGTCAACGAGTGCAACAAAGAGAAGTGATAAGTGTACTACCCGTGTTCACATTGATTATAAGTAATCAAAGAAAAAAGATAATGAGCATGAAGAAATTTCTTCCCCATGCAGGGAGTTATGATACTACCCTTATTGTTATCCACTCTACTTGTGTTAAACAACAGCATGTACTTTCATGCAGACAGCTGGGAGATGTATACCTCTTCTTCTTTAGTGAAACACTGTCATATATTTTAATGTTAAACTCCTCATTGCTGTTGGCCTGACAGCCGAGTTAATTAATTTTTACCCTACATATACCCCGTTTCCAGCTACTCCTTCCTCACCAGCCGCTATGAGGTATTTCACCTGGCATTTCCCCGAGAAACCACATTTTCCTCGAATCTCCTTCTCACAACCTCCGACCGTCACTGCACTGGGTTTCTGTTTTTATACCATTTTCATTAAATGGCTAACCATCAGTTACACCGCCGTTGTCTTGAGAATTTAACTTTTTAGGTACAAAGTACAATGGGCTTGCGAGTCTTCTTTAGCAGATTTTAAAGCAGTATGAGAAACGCATTGGAAACTCCTGAAATCAATATTTATTTAATTATTATGAAAAGTAAAAAATCTGCAGACAGAAAGACCTCGTCCCGCCATACAGGTGTCTACTTAATGTCACGTTGACCCGGCCCACACACTGCATTCACTTGATGTATTGTATCAGTTACATAAAGTCATGTTAATGTCTAATTTGTACAGAAAGTGCCCTGTTACTGGATTTTATACGAACAGTGGTGCTTTGCCACGGTGACAATGGGACCCTCTTTTTCATATCTTAAATAAATAAATAAATAAATAAATAAATAAATAAATAAATAATAGATGCAGATGCTGATATTAGTATAATCTATGTATCTCTGTAAAAATCTTGCGACCTTGCCTCACCACGAGATAGCTGGACAACGACTTTTATTACCAGGAACTGTTTCACATACAATCGAGTACTGCAATATAATGCAAATATCTGTCGCGAGGTTTTCTTTGTTTAATATGCTTAACGCACACACTACATGTAGTAGCGCTGTTTTATTCTATGTAATTCGTTTCCATTTCAATTTTTTATAAGAAAATAATTTAAAAATGACTGGTTTCATGTAAATATGTTCTCCTACTGACAGACAGAAACGCAGTTATGAATTGAAACATACAAGAATATTTCGCGTATGTAGGCCTACATGTTTGCCCACATCTGTGTTAAACACGTACAGCTGTTAAGCTACTCAAAGATGATGATGATAATAATAAGGGTAGCATCATGGCTCCCAGCTTGAGGACGAAATTTCAAAATGAATTTCGTGCAGTCATTTTCTTTTTTCGATGATTACTTATAATCACTGTAAACACGGGTAGTGCGCTAATCATTCCTCCCTGTTGCACTTGTTGACTTTTTCATTTGCCTAGTGTTTTGTCCCCGCCCCCTCTTCCGTGTTTGTTGCCCCCCCCCCCCCCCCCCACTCTTCCTCCCTTGTCTTTCTTCTTCGCCGATACTGGACACGGACAGAAAAATACATATTTGTAAAACTCGGGTTGGTCAGTTAACCCAGTCTAACATTCAATCCTACGTCACATTGGCGACATTTGAATATGATGACATCGTGTTCATATAGGCGTTGTCAATGTTGCTACGGTCGACGGGCATAACGACTCAAATATGTTGGAAAATAGAGTACGAAGAACAAACCAGTGGGCGCAATATTTCAGTGGAGATATATGGGTCCGAGACTGCTCAAATAAAAATATAATTAATCTTCTAAATTTGATGAAGATCTATTGGCTAATAAAAGGGTATTTACACCAAAAGTTCTCATTTATGTATGTTGTTGTTTGGACAGAAATGCCGTCAGCTATATGCATGGTCATCTGATTTTTTTTCTTTTACGAAAGCAGGATGAACATTTTGCATTTTAAAGAAAGAATAAAGCAGTTAGTTTTCTTCAATTAACAGCTAGTATTGAAATGATTGCTTACCTCCAAAATATCAATTTCCTTTAAGGGAATGAGGCTATCCATGTGCTTAGTCTCCATCCAGGAGATATCCTTAACCCCCTTATTTCTCGTATATGTTGCAATATAAATTTGGCAGCCAAGTATCACTTTCAGTAGGGTCGCGGTGATCCTGGCACCAAAACTTATTTTGAGTGAATTATTATTGGCGCGCCCCTTATGAATATTACAAATTTTGTTTTGAGCCCCTTCCGTTTATTGTGATGCGGACTCTGGATAGCCACTGGATAGACATGTAGTTAATGTCAAAATCAATAGAAACTGCCCCACTCGCCAATTCAAAGAAATGCTCTGACGGAAACTTAAGACACTATTTAAGACATTATATATTATATCATCGGTTTGAAGTTTTATTTTCATAAGGTCATCATCACCGCTTAAAATTCCCTATATATCTACCAAATAATCCGACTGAATGTTTTTCTAGGTTCTTTTTTTATCGATTTTTACTGTGTTGTTTGCTAGCCTATTTTTCTCCTACATATTTTTCTCGCTTCGAGAAGAGTTTAGGTGATGGGTTCATATAAAATCTTCAAAAGCAGTGCAATTTCAGGAAAAAAATCTTTTATTCTCATTTTTGTAATCATAATTATAAAAAAACGTTTTCTTCAGTCCTTACCCTATAAAATATCCATAACATACATGTAGGTTACCTTATAGCAACAACATAGGTGTTTGTGTATGGCCATATCTCAGAATACGACACACTCGTGTAAGGGAAGTCGACACTTTAAGTAACTGCCTTTAGATTATATGAAAGTGAAGTGCTTTGCTCTTAAAGATCTAATTTAATCTCAACGCCCTGCTTGGATCTCCTTACGACAGTCTATGCAATCACATTATTTTTGATTTTGATTTTTTTTTCGTTGCTTCAGTTTAATGTATATAGCTTGTTGTCCTCACGACGTGTAAATACCGTCGACTCTACCGATGATGCAGTTAAAACGTTCACTGGTTACCAAGGCCTATTAAATCAAAGCAATACATATTTTACCTAAAATATTATAAAAAGATTTTGATTGATTTTATGAATAAACAAATAAAAATAAACAATAAATAGACCTGGTTTATTTGACTGCTCAATGTCTCTGTTTATTTACCACATTTTGTGATTTCTCTGAAAACCACATCAGTTGAAGAATAACTCGCCAAAGGATTAATAAATTGCTATCAAAGGTCATTTATGCACCCCAGTTACCTCTGAACCTCAGGGTGGTTTTTATATCTCTCTGCAGATACTCCGCCATGTTGGTTTTTGGTCTTGAACTCTTCTTAACTGGGACGAACACCTGTGAATCCAATGTTTGTGTGACGTGACACTACTAAAGTTATTATCACATCAACTGCAATAGACGCTTGGTAAAAAATGAGAAAAATGCAATGTGATGTTAACATTTTCACAACTAATGCAATGCAGATGATAATGCGGCAAATTCAAATTCACGCGCAGAGTTTTTTTACGCTGCTTCACACTCAAAGACACATTTATTAAAACTGTAATTTGAATTATTTACACATGATGACAAAACTAAATTGTGACACGAGAAAATGGTATTGGTGCTATGGGCATTTTCTTTATGAAATAAGTTTTTTATCAGGATGTTTTGTTCCTTTTCAAATATTGTGTTTTGGACTATATTATTTAGTTGCAGTTCATCTTTGTCTTTAAGTGGTAATAATAATAAAAATGATAATGTTTAAATGATCAGTTGGATGGTCCATATTATTATGGCACGTGCTCTCTCGAAGTGACGCAGTGCAGGTAAAAGTGTAGTGATCCCCGCTCTGTAGCGCCGCAGTGGCAAAATGAGGAACTGCCCATTGCGCTATCTGTATACCCGTTAATATTATGTGCATGTCAAATTAAAGTTATTAAAGTGCAATGCACTCTCTCATTGTTGAACGTGCAGACCAATCGCTGAACTCTGTCACCTCTGAGTTGTTATAGGCACAATATGAATACGATGCTTTGCGGGTTCCAAGAAATTCCTAAGGGACGAATTTATAGGAAGTACAAGACTTGAAAGGGCAACATTTTGATCGTAAATCAAAGACACTGTAGTACTAAGGGGTAATGGGTGACACAAAAGCCGCAACTTCTTCACTGATTGCATCTATTACGTTAGTTTTGACGTACACTGGCAATGGGGTACGAAAGAGTGACGAGTTCGTTACGTGGACGAAAAGTGTATTGAATTGACTTTCTGGCTCTTTGAACGATTCTTCGGGTTACCGCGAATAGATA